CTGACAGCTTGTGTGAAGCTTGGCCACTTGTTGAGGCCGAAGCTAGAGGAGGAAATGACAGGGGAGAGGCGAGGTGGACATACGCCTCTAGTTGGAGGTGGCACTCTCTAATTCTGCACGGCCCCGTCACGTGCTCAGGAGGCTTCTTGGTTTAAGCAAGGCAACAGATGTCTCCAAGAGGGGGATGTTGGCAGCGCCCCAAAGGCCAGCAGGACTGCGGGTTAGGCATGAGTGAGCCGACAGGAGAAGGAGGCACACATGCTCTTGCCCTCTGCTCAGAACTGGAAAACAGGCCAACATTGGAGAAGAGCGAATTCTAGAACTGACAGAGGGTGATGGCAGAGAGAAAATACTTATTTGGAATAAGCATTATCCTGGGGGGAGGGTGGGGAACTTGACTATTCTCAAAGACATAAATATGCCCCAGCGCTTTCTACATTCAAATAGATGGCACAGAAGATGAAAGTCAACTCGGGGTTGACTTTGCATACTGAGGTGGCAGTGTTTTGCTTTGCAAAGCATAGCCACCTATGTGTACTTTTACCTGGAGGTGTGGTTTTTAAGTTTTACCAGGAAAGAGAACTGAGCCTTTCTCCCCTTAGATCAGTCATTCTCAGTTATCGGGACAAGCCTATCAGTAAATCCAAACCGACCCGTATCTCATTTTGGAACAAGTAATTGAGTTTGTGGTAGGTAAGCTCTTACGGATGGAGCATGCATGTAATCTACTTTCCATTTGAAGTTTTCAGTGTTGCTTTTAAAGTAGTTTGTTTGAAGTTCAAGGTATTAGAATTTGGTTCTTTGGGGACTTCATTCTTAATTTAAAGGAATCTTTGTAAATTGCTTGGGCCTTATAGTGGGCCTTGTTGCTGAAATTACCTGGAATTTCTCTAGCTGTGCTGTTCTACAGCATAAGGCTCATTTGAACAAGTGCGCACTGCGTTCATGTCATCTTCCTGGGCCTTTGCGCTTCTCCCCTGCGTGCCCCATTCCCTACCCCCACAGATGTTCTGGCTACGTTTTGTCGCTGAACAGCCCATGTTGCTTTTTTTTTTTTTTTTTTTTTTTTTGAGACAGAGTCTCGCTTTGTTGCCCAGGCTAGAGTGAGTGCCGTGGCGTCAGCCTAGCTCACAGCAACCTCAAACTACTGGGCTCAAGATCATCCTGCGCTCAGCCTCCCAAGAGCTGACTAGACAGACATGGACCAACCATGCCGGCTAATTTTTTATTAGTTGGCCAATTAATTTCTTTCTATTTATAGTAGAGACGGGGTCTCGCTCTTGCTCAGGCTAGTTTCGAACTCCTGACCTCGAGCAATCCGCCCGCCTCGGCCTCCCAGAGAGCTAGGATTACAGGCGTGAGCCACCGCGCCCGGCCCCCATGTTGCTTTTATGCAAAGGAAACTAGCATCCTGACACAGCCCACCTGAAGCCCGTTGTTTACTGCCCTGTTCCTCACGGTTCTGTGGGTATTGAATCTCTGCTGCTGTTCCCATTTTCTTCTGTTTGATGTCTGAAGAATACAGTCGGCCTGATGGCTGAGCAGATTGTCACAGATCCATGGAAGAAGGCCATCTCTGGGCCACATTAGGGCCTACATACAGCAAATTTCTAGAAAGCCATGGTCAGGGGCCATTGGGGTGTTTTTGGCCAGGCTTGCATGCCACCATGAATAATGTTTAGTTAAGTTTTGCTGACACTTTTCCAATTACACAAGTAATAAGATGGTATTTATGGACAAATTAGAACAAAGTATAGAAGAGCAAAATGGATGACCTGCCTGCAAATCCTACACGTAGAAGTAATCACATAAATCTTTTGATGTTTATGCTTCTAATTTCCTTTTATGTACATATATACTTGTAAATCAATATTTTCTTTTTACAAAACTGTGGTCAGACTGCTCATATTAATTTTATTGCAAAATCTACCATGAACATCTTTCCACATCTTTAAGTATTTGAAATCATTTTTAATGTCTATGCATAGTTCAATTGCATGGATGGAACTTATATTTTTTTAACCAGTCAACTATACTTAGACATTTAGATTGATTTCAGTTTTTCTTTCTAATAAACCATGCTGCGATGAACATTCATGAAGCTAAATCTTTTCACATCCTTGTTTCTTTCTTTTTTTAATTTCAGCATATTTGGGGGGTACTAATGTTTGGGTTACATATGTTGCCCTTGCCTCCCACTCCCCACCAAGTCAGAGCTTCAAGCATGTCCATTCCCCAGATGGTGCACATTGCACTCATTATGTATGTATAGATCCATACCGATACCCTCCTTCTGCTTGTTTCTTTAGTATTAAATCCTAGAAGTTGAATTGCTTGATCTAAAACTGCCATTATTTTTTTGTTGTTGTTGTTGTTGAGACAGAGTCTCGCTTTGTTGCCTAGGCTAGAGTGAGTGCCATGGCGTCAGCCTAGCTCACAGCAACCTCAAACTCCTGGGCTCAAGCAATCCTGCTGCCTCAGCCTCCCAAGTAGCTGGGACTAGAGGCATGGACCACCATGCCTGGCTAATTTTTTCTATATATATTAGTTGGCCAATTAATTTCTTTCTATTTGTAGTAGAGACAGGGTCTTGCTCTTGCTCAGGCTGGTTTCGAACTCCTGACCTTGGGCAATCTGCCCGCCTCGGCCTCCCAGAGTGCTAGGATTACAGGCGTGAGCCACCACACCCGGCCTAAAACTGCCATTATTCTTATAGGAATCTATCTTATATGCCCTTTAGGATGGCACAGAACATCTGGGTGACAAAAGTCAGCAGCTCATGCTTCTCAAACAAAATCTGAGATAGGGGAAAGAGGAAGAAGGGATTTCTGTTCTCTTCTCTTGGGGAAGTTTTGTGTATATTCTTCTCTGCTATAAATTTGAAGAGATAGACTAGGATCCTCACATATTTTGGTTGTTCCAAGCCTTAAAAATTAGATTAAATATGCTTAAAATAGGCCTCAAGAGCCACCAGGAGTGAATGTTTTTTTATAAGGACACTTTTAACATGACATGCAGAGGAGGAGAGACAGGACAGGACCCCTGGTTCCTCTCTGTGTTGAATAGAGATGCATGTTTGTGATACACTGAGGAGAGTTACTGTAAAATGCAGACTAATAGTGTTTCACTGGAGAATAGAAAATACTTAGGCAAGGCAGAGTGCTCCGAGACAACCTTTCAATCCATTTATCAAAAGAGGTTATAATGGAACTCTCATTTCCAGGGAGGTCAAACACTAATAAATATTGAGAAAAGAAAGTTAAAAGGACATCAAGTTAATATTTTACTATCCATTCTTTGATCTTGGAAAGCTTGAAATATTTTTCCACACTAATTTTGTGATTTATTGATTCATTCCTGCCAATTGGCTTATTGGAGCAGACACAGATGCCTTGCTTTTAACTACAGCTTCCATTTCTATAATGCTTTACAGTGCCAACAGATTTTTATGTATTCACTGGCATCACTTATTGACATCGCCACAGTTCGGGAATAATCTTTGCTAGTTAAAAACTGGATCGTTGTCAGTAAAAGCAACTGAAATGCTATTGATTTTGGCTTAAATGCTGTAATAACATCTTTTGGTTTTGTTGTATTGGTTTTGAGGGGAAAAAAATAAAACACTCCATATTTCATTGACTCTTCCATACTTGCCTGTATTCAAAATATATTCAGAATCTCTGATTATTTTTCCACTTCTGTTGCTGCCACCCTGGTTTTGGAAGAAAATAATCTCTATCCTGGATTGCAGTAACCTTTATTTATTTATTTATTTATTGACTAGTCAAGTGCAGTAGTGATGGGGGTGGGGAAGTAGTAGAACAAAGAGTTCAATCTGTAACTGAGTGTAAACAATCAAGTGAGTTAACTCACTACCTTAGGACCAGCTTGCAATGACCTCCTAACTGGCTGCTTTATTTCCATTCCTTACTCTCTTCAGTCCACTGTGACCGCAGAAGGCGGAGGGAGCTTCCACCATGTAAGCAGGTCGTGTCACTCAGAGCCACTGAGAAGACAGAGCTCAGGAGAGGGTCTCCATGAGACCCACATCTGCCCATCCCAGTGCCCAGGTGCTCTGCCTCCCCTGCCTCCCCCGAAGGTGTCGCTGCTGCTGCCCAAGCTGACCCCATTCACTAGGTCCTCTCCCCTCCACCCGGCCCCTCGCCGCTTCTGACAGTTGCCCCTTCTCGCTCCTGCATCATCAGTTATTCCCTTACTACTGTAGGAATTCCCATAACAGTATGCAAACAAGCTGTTATTCCTCCCATTTTAAAAAAAAGAGCAAAACAAAAACAACTTTTCTTGGCAGCATTCCCTTCTCCCATGACCACTCTATTTCTCTGCTCCCTTTACGGCAAAACTCTGTCGTCAATTCTTTTCTTCCCTGAATTCACTAGGGCCAGGCTCTGCCCCTATCGCTCCCCCTACACGTGATACTCTTCTTATCAAGGGCAGTTAATGCCCTCCCCAGCACTGACTCCAAGGGGCCATGCTCAGTCCTCACCTTGCTGGCCTCTCAGCGGCATTGGAGAATATTGATCACCTCCTCCACCTTGAGTCACACTTTTCTCCTTGCTTCCACAAACCACGCTCCACTCCTGTCCAGCCACAGACTCCCAGTGGCTGCTACCTTTCTGTCCTTGCGTCTGACTCCTCTCCCTTCCCTCACTTAGCTCCAGACACACTGGCCTCCTCGAAGCCTCTCAGCCCTGTTGGTGTGTCTCAGGGCCTTTGCACCTGCTGTTCCTTCTGCCACGGGTGCTCTTCTCCTAGACATCTGCATGGCTTTCCATCCTGCCCTGCCTTCAAGCATCTGCTCAGATGGCACAGGTGATAGCTGCCTTCTTTCCCTACGCTTTCCCTCCATGGCGCGTCTCACGGTCCAGCTCACTATTTTGCTTTGTTTCCTTTATGTCAGTCTCTGCCCACTGGACTGTAAGCTCCACGAGGGTGGGAGTTTTATCTGTTGTGTTCTCTGTCATATCCCCAGTGCTTCTAACAGTGCCTGGTGCATGACAGGTGCTCAATAAGTATTTGTCGAGTGAATGAATGACTGTTCTTGATATTGTTATTAATATACTTGGAGAAATACCTCATTGGAAGCCCTTAAGTCTTTCACTTTACAAGAGTTTAAAAGATTTGTAGTTTTCTTATGTTTATATGACTTGGGGAAAACAAAGGCGTTTTGGGACAAAAACAATAAACATTTGGAAGGTGGAATGCCTTTCTTATGTCGCCAGCCTTTCTGTCTCCACGGAGACACTTCCTCAGAACTGTAAATTGGGAGTATGTCCTTATAAAGTCCGTCTTGTAAGCACAAGAAGGTGCCATTTTTGTGCCAAACTGAATGACAAGGGCAGGATCAGAGAGAAGTAGCTGAGATCTTAAGGGGGCACATTGGATACAGAGGCATTGCAGGCAGGGGCCTGAGAGACTCTGCTACAAACGTGGCAAATCCCTCCTGCCTGTCTTTGATGCCTCCCACCCAGGTGGGGAGCTCACAGGTCACCCCTTCATTTTCCCCAAGCATGTCAGCACAACGGGGTGCACGGCACCATCCCCCCTCCCTGTCTTTTCGCAGGTATTTTTTTTTCTTTTCAAAAATCCCTTCTCCTCTATTTCTGCTAGCTGTAGTTCCCTGCTTTAAGGCCCAGCACAAATGCAAACTTGCCTTTGAAGGCTTCCTGGGCCCTTGCAGTCAGCATGGACTCTGGCTGTGGACTGTGCTCCGTGGTACAGTGAGCCCGGGCACAGTCATACTCCGTATCTATGGGGATTGGTTCCAGGACCCCTGTGGATACCCAAATCCACAGACGCTCAAGACCCTGACATAAAGTGGCATAGCACTTGCGTATAACCTATGTACTCCCTCCTGTATGCTTTGAATCATCTCTAGATTTCTTATCATACTGCATACAATGCAAATGGTATGTAAATCTATGTAAATTGTTGTTACACTTGTTACACGGTATTATTTAGGGAATGAGGGACAAAGAAAAAAGTCTGTACCTGTTCAGAACAGATGCACCCAAGTATTTTCAATCAACCTGTGGCTGACCGAATCCACAGATGTGGAACCCACAGATACAAAGGGCCAACTGTATTTCTCAGTTTAGCTGTGAATACACACACACACACACACACACACACACACACACACACACAGAAATTATAAGCTCATTGAGGGCAAGGATTGCATTATACTTTTCTGGTGTTTTCAGCACCTAGAAAATGCCTGGGACACTGAAGGCACTCTTTGTAATTAGAATTGTCACAAAATGAATACCACCTTTAAAAAAAAAATCAGATAAAAGATCATTCTTGTAAAGGCCCTCCTGCTGGTTATTTTCCTTTTTCTCCGCTTTGTGACAATGTGGCAGCTGCTACATTTGGTTGGGACCTTATGAAGAGAAGCCACTTGTGCACCAAAGCCTCCTACCTCTCGCCGGCAGCGACAGTGAGCTCCTTTGTCCCGTGCTGCCTGCGTGTTCGGGTGCCCTGAGAGGCGTGTGCTCACCTGATGCCTCGGTGTGCAGGCTGACCGGGACTGTCCTGGTCTAGTTTGGCAGAGCCGGAAGCAAGTTAAGCAACTCACATAAGATTATTTTTCAAGGCAGAACTGGATGTCAGCCTCTGGTTTTCTAAAATCCTAGTCAGGGGTTCTAAGTACGATATTGCTTCTATACCATGCCAGTTCTTTAGCAGAAACAACACAGGTATAAACCTCAGGACCCAAGAAGAGCAGTTAACACTGTGAGGCAATCCATTCATGGTTATTGCGGCTCTTTCTGCCACTGTTCTCATCTGGGAGCAGGGACGAATCCCAGTGCCGTTTGGCAATTGAGCCTGCTTACCCACCTCTTTTCAGAACATTTGTTAGTGAGACCAGCAAACACTTTCAGACGCTCTGAGTGAGCCCTTGATAAGCAGGTTACTGAGGATTGTAGACCTGGCATCGGGGGCATTACTGCCTTTGCCAGCAGAGGGGATTAGGCAAATGGGCAAAGGGCCTCGAGCCAGCCGGATCTTGTGGGAGGGGTCGCTGATGTCGCAGACGCTGGGCGTGGGGTCCCAGAGGAAGGAGAGCCGGCATGATCTTGGCAGCTTAGCTGTCCATGGGCACCCCAGGCCAGAGATGGTCCATGTTGAGGAAATATGTGCTGTAGCTGAGAAGCCCTCAGCCAGCATGACTCCAAAATGAGAAAAGTCTGCCCATGTGTAATCACCTTTACAAAAATCCTAGCTATCTCAAGTTTTTATAAAGACATACTAAAATGCTGTATTTGTTAGGATTCCTGATGATGTTGGGTAAACGACTCCTAGTTTCTGAGTGCGGCGGAGCGAAACAGTAGAGAGATGTTGGACACTCCAGAGGAAAGAAAAGGTACCTCCAAGGGAGCATTTACCTAACAGACTCTGCTACCTTCGGCCTGCAGGGATTTGCATGCTATGGGGCTGGGTTTCTTCCCATTGTATGATTTTAAAGGTATACAATGCCAGCAGGGGTGGTGGCTCACGCCTGTAATTCCAGCACTCTGGGAGGCTGAGGCAGGAGGATTGCTTGAGCTCAGGAGTTTGAGACCAGCCTGAGCAAGACCCTGTCTCTACTAAAAATAGAAAAAAATTAGCCAGGCGCAGCGGTGTGCACCTGTAGTCCTAGCTACTCGGGAGGCTGAGGCAGGAGGATCACTTGAGCTCAGGAGTTTGAGGTTGCTGTGAGCTAAGTTGATGCCACTGCACTCTAGCCTGGGCAACAGTGTGAGATTCTGTCTAAAAAAAAAAAAAAAAAAAAAAAGTATTCAATGCTGACACAAAAGCCAGTCCTTCTGAGGGCTTATGTGTACTCTGTTGAAAAAGTGACAGGGAAAAGAGATGAAGTGCTCTAAATCTATTTAGCAGACCCATGAGGCATAAGTAAAGCCAGCTATTTAATAAACTTATTATTAATGGTCTTGCAGGGATGCAGAGTAACTTTATACAGGTTAACAGTCCTTGGGAAACTTTGCCACTAGCCTTAGTGGATGCACAAAGTTACCTAGAGGACAGGATCCAGGCTGGAGGGGAGATTTGTGCTTGGGAGCTGGGTAAATGCAAGAGGATGCCCTGCTAATGGCTCCTCTGGGTTAAGAAGGGGAATCTGTCCTAAAGAGCGTTACAGGTACTGATCCATGGTGGTTTTTGTTGTCGTAAGAGAGCACCTTCACTCTTCAGCTTCATCTGAAGTCTCGTTTGTCACGTGAGCTCGTGATGACCCACGTACATCCAGATGTTCCTGACCCCATAGGCGGTGCTGTCTGGAGACCTTAGGAAAGGGCGTGCAGTCAGTTGAGCTTCATTGTTGGGAGTGATGCATGTTCTCCTATTGCTTTCAGAAATTTTTGCTCACCTGATACAGCAGCACTGACTGCTTCTTGCTAGCTCTTTGCTTCACTGTGCTTACATGTCAGATGAGGACAGGAATGTCACCTTTTTTAGGGGTCTGGAGATAATAGATAATAGATCTGGAAAACACAACATATATATGATGTATTATATATTATAATATATATAATATATTATGTTATTATTATTATTGTACATAACTCAAAACTGACTTCTTATAAGAGTAATACATTTATAAAATGAGTTTACTAATACTAAGTTTACTAATATCCCATAATAATTCCTGTATTTTCTTTGAGCTTCTATTAGGTAGGAGGCCTAGGAGAATGAGATGGAAACACAACTAACTGGTTTATGGGGTAGAGAGTGACAAGCATTTTGAGAGACACATAGATAACTCTCCCTGAGAGTGTAGATAAAAGTGTGAGTTCCCAAGGAAGAGGATCAGGATGACTTGGGGGATGAGGCAGTAAGGGGATGGGCTGTGGCGTAGGGGCATTTGGAAGGGGAAAGGGATTCTAAGCAGAGAAAGTTCATGGGGTGAAGACCTGGAGGCAGGAGCCCAGAGAAACCTAGCAGGAGAGGATTTCTTCAGGACCCAGGGCACTGAGTACAAATGAGACTGGAAAGAAAGATTGGGGTCAGATTGTGGAAGGTCTTGCATGTCCATTTGAGGAGTATGGACTTTACAGCAGAGGTAAGCAGAGTGTAGGATGAGGGAGACTGGAGACCACAGACCAAACAAGAGGTATTGATGTCTTTAGGGCATTTCAGAGCAAATAGAGGCCAGGGTGAGGTGAGAAAAACCCTGAGCAAAGAAGAGACAAGAATTGGCCATTAGTGAACTGTGAGAAGCGAAGGTGAGCTGGTGAGAGGAGGTAGGGTCAGGTGGCTCACTAAGGCATGAAGTGTCTCCCTGGGCCTTTGGCACCGGCTTCTGGATGGACAAACTTGGGAAAACCTTGCCCTTTTATATTCTTTCTCAATTTGGAGTGATACTATTTTCTACTTTTAATTGTGCTTGAAATAGCCAAAGATGCAGCATAATACTTTGAGCCAACAAAATGATAGGATGGGTTAAGTTAGTAAAGTTTAAAAAGAAAAAAAGTAGTCATTCATTTTTCAGACTTGAAGAGTTTCCTAGTTTCAGAAAACCAAACATGAAATTCTGTGTTAATGAAGCAGAGAATTAGCAGGCGATTATTTGAATAACAAAAGGAATCTTTTTCAAAAGCTTTTTTTTTTTCAGGAATTCTTTAAACAGCAATTGCTCTTAGTCTTCATCCATTTAAAATGTGATTTATTTGTAGGTATTTGATGAAACATGGGAAGGAGCTTATCTCATAAAGCGTGATATGCCTTAGAGCTACATATTACCATGTGCAATATTTTAAAAAATATTTATTTATATATGTATGAAGTAACCATGTCATGAGAATTCTAAGAAATTGAATAAGTGTACTTTCATTTTCTGTTAGTCAAGTTTGAGAGTTAAAGCTGTAACTTTTTAATTAAACATATTAATGGCCAGTTTATAACTTGCTAATTGCTTTGATTACTGTCATTTGTATAGTCTACAGAGTTCAGAAAGTCCTTTGTCATTTTTTCTTAAAAAGCTGTGATAAGAAAAGCTTTTATAACGTCATTCCAGAAAACCCTAACAATGGCTTCCTTCATGAATCTTTAAGAGAGGTAAATTTAATTATTTATGTTTTTCTAACTGTTCCTAGTTTTCCTTTATAGAATGCCTCTTTTTTTTTTTTCCTCTGATATGGAGTATTGCTTTGTCACCTAGGCTGGAGTGCAGTGGTATGATCGCAGCTTACTGCAGCCTCCAACTCCTGGGCTCAATCGATCCTCCTGCTTCACCCTCCTCAGCAGCTGGGACTACAGAGTTTGCCACTATGCCCAGCTAATTTAAAACAATTTTTAAGAAACAGGATCTTGCTATATCACCCAGGCTGGTCTCACAATCTTGGCCTCAAGAAATCCTTCAACCTCAGCCTCCCACGTAGCTGGGATATATAACCCACCGCACCTGGGTTAGAATGCTTTTAAAAATTACTCTCTGCCACTCAAAAGAGTTGAAAGCAGGGACTCAAGCAAACAGTGGTACACAAATGTACAATTAACAATTATTCACAATAGCCAAAAGGTGGAAAGAACCCATCATAGATGAATGAATAAACAAAATGTGGTATGCATATATTAGTTTTTGGATTCATCTGGAATCTAGGGGCAGCACCAGGTAGAACAGTTGCCCTGAGAGAGGGTCCCACGTGCTCCTGTCCTTTCTGTGGTATCTTGCATTCAGAATGATCCAAGCCTGCCCAGGAAGCCTCTCATCCATCTCTTGAAAGGAGAACCTAGTATATTGAAAAGGGGCTGCAGATCGGGACTCCGAGCCCTTGGGCTGAAGTCCATGTTCACGCCCTTGCTGAACTAGGCAACCTTGGCAAGTTTCTTAAATTTTCTGTGCCTCATGTTGTCTCATCTCATCTGTGGTGTATGAATTACGCTATTTTCCCTACTTGATGTCAAAGAATTGCACTAGGATAAGCACCCTCTTTGAGTTTTAAAGTATGTTGCAGAAAGAAGTGATTGTCATCATCATGGCTATAGATTTCCTCCACCTTTCTACAAGTAGGTCTACACTTGGTTTTTCTGTCTAAGAAACAAATTGGCAAAAATCCCATCAAACATAGATTTCCATAATCTTTATTGAAACCATCCGGCAACCCTAAACTAGACTGGAGCTGGCCACCTTGAGGGACCGAAAGTGACACTCCTTGTCTCTACTGATAGCACCGAAGTTTGTGAGACGCACTTCCTCTTGGGGAACAAGAATGCTGCTTTTCAAAGCCAGAGGAACCCCAAGTAAGGACCTAAACTGGGGGATTACAAGCATAAGCACTTGTTCTATATTGGCCACTGTGACTGACCTTTTCTAAGAGAGCCTACAATTACAGTTTAGCAGACAGTACTTTTTTTTATTGTGGTAAAATATACACAACATAAAATTTGTCATTTTATCCATTTCTAAGTGTACAGTTCAACGTACCTATGACATAATAACTCTCCATTCTCCCTGCTCCCCCTGCCCCCTGCCCCAAGCCCTTGGCAATGACCATTCTACTTTCTCTCTCTGAATTTGACCACCCTGCATCCCTCATGTGAGTGGAATTGTACAGTATTTGTCTTTTTGTGTTCGGCGCATTTCATTTGGTGTATGTCTTCGGGGTTCATCCATGTTGTAGCACATGTCAGAATTTCATTCCTTTTGCAAGCTGAGTCCTCTTCCATTATACACACACGGAATATTACGCAGCTTAGAGTGCTCAGACCTGTGTACCTCCCATCTTCTAGGTCTGTTGAGGTCCCAGGGGCTGCACCCAAGACCTCACACTGGGGTCAACAGCCCGCCTGCGCCTTGCCATCGGTGTTGGTGCTGCCATCTGCTTCCTGCTCCCAAGTCATTCCTCACCCTGCTCGTTGCCGTGTTGGCACATGTTCCCCACAGCAAGACAGCTTAAGGTCTGGTTCTCTTTGAGTTATTCCCACGATACTCTTGATGCACATGGATCATTCTTCTTTCCAGAAGGAAAATTCACAGGTTGCATTTATGTGCCACCTTTGGGGCACGTGGGACCATTCCCCTGGCCTTGTGGGGCACTGAGGTACTAGGGCCCATTTGGGGCTCGGTCACTGGCCCAGGCACAGCACACACATCTCCAGCCTGGCACCTCCCTGTCCTCGCCTGACCCTGCCAGGACAGGCAGGAGCTGTGCCCTCTGCCCTCACATCCCCCAGTTCTATCTTGGGGTTCTATTATCCACTCCTCAGGGTCTGCCTGGAGGTTAGGATTTGGGGGGCGAGGGGGGTTAGGACCTCTTCCCAGGGACTCCCCAGCCTCTAATACCCTTCCACCACCCGTCTCTGATTCTGCCAGCTTCCTCAGCCCGTAGGACTGTCTTCAGAGCTTCAGCTTACTTAATACTTATC